TTATTCCCGATTTCGGTGACACCAGCATCATCATCGGGGACTCTTGCCTAGGTTCCAATTTTTGATCATACATTGTCTGCAAACAAGCCACCTTCTGCACACTTTCCACCAATTGATCAATAGTTCCCGTAATTGCAAGGGGATCCCCCCTCTCCCAGCGGTTCAATAGGCTGCCCGCTGGGTTGAAGACCAAGGGGTATAGTGATTGCCAGTAATTAAAAATACTCCTGGTCCCCAATACCCCTCCGCTTCCTTTTCGCTCAGCAAAATCTGATTCCCCCCCGACAATGATACTCTCCACACATACTCTGTCTCTGACTCCCTAGGGGTTCGACTGAAATCCTTTTTTAACTTTACCAACTCAGTGGTGGTATAGGGGACCTCCTTGGTTGTGACTTGGGGGGACTGATCCTGATCATCATCGTAAATATACTCGGTTTTAACCAAGGGGCGCAGCGAGAGCAGTTCTAATTTCTCTATTCTTCCTCTCACTGCTTGCAAGTCTTCAAAAGGGTAACCAGTTCCTGATCTCGGGGGTATTTCCTCATGGGCAGTGCCCGCAAGGAGTTGCTCCTTAAGAGCAGTTTGCAGATGTTTCACCTGGTCTCTCTCTCCTTCAAGCTGTAGCTTTAAGTCCGCCACTTGCCCCTGAAGGGACTGAATGAGGTTTCAGCACATTGCCTCACCACTACAGCAGCGGCCAAACTGGCACCGAGAACAGCACCAATAGTCGATTTGCCCCTTCCTGATCTCACTCTCGCATCCTTTTGCAATGCGCTTGTTTGATCAACCATACTCTGCAAATTATACCAATTTCCATGAGCCCAGTCCATCCCGGGTACAGAGGGTCGCGCATTATATTTTTCTAAAAATTCAAACAAAACTTGTCTCCACAAAGGGGCAGTTTTAAGGTCACTCACCCTATTTAAGGTGGAGAAGCAGTCGTCTCAGGAAGGCAGCACCTAAGTTTCAAACACAAGACCCACACCCCTTACTTTCCTGAGAGGTCTCAGGTATTTGGGAAATCTCAAGGGATTCGGTTCAAAGCGGGGAAGTGGTCGTCTCAGAAAGGCAGCACATAAGTTTACCTGCACCCCTTACTTTCCTGAGAGGTCTCACTTATTTGGGAAATAATACGGCTCTCTCATCTCAAAGGATCCTGTCCGTGACGACAATTTAAATGTCCCAATCCAATGTCGGGGGAGGTTTCGATATGATCCCAAGAGCGAGATTAAGACACAAACGAGGTCAAATGCCGTATATCCAAGACAGCTTTTATTATCAAAAGTAAAGAATTAGTAGCAATAGGACAGAATGGAATAAAAAGACAGAAATCAAGCAAGCATTCAGGATAGAATTGCAAGGATAGTCACGACCATGGATCCGCGGTGTCCCAGGGTCCAAGTCTCTCAAAGTTTTCGGTGATGGGTGATCATGCTTGGAGGCAGCTGGCACGCACACGAGCTTGTCTTGGCAGTCCCCTTTTACTCTCATTCAAGGCCTGCAACTTAGCATATCTTTGCATT